AGCTATAATTATCTCACAATAATTCTCAAACAATGACTACGCAATTGTTTTGAATTTTGCAAAAGCCGCAACAATGTTCACACAATACACCTACCTTTACAGCGCAACAAAGGTTACACAATATTCTTAATTTTACAATAATACTTTCTGAAGCAACCTCAGCAATATATATATAAAGCAGTCCTAATTCTACAAAATATGAATAATAATACTCAGGCTTTTCATCTACACCAAAGAGTTGGTAAAATATCCTATATATACACACACATACAGCTTTATTAAGACCACCGGTCTTATACAGATTAACCACAGGAAGGAATCATAGATGGAGCTCCTATACTCCAGGCAGCGCAGAGCCCAACAGCCTCCAGGTCCGACGCATGTCCAGTTGCCACAGAATCTACCGTGCATAGGTTAGCGTATCACTGAAAAGGCGAGTATGGAATCAGCCGCGTTTCAGTCTTCGCTTTCCTCATCCAAATGGACCATGACATTCAGCGATTAATCTCCTCCGAACGGTGACTGCGGTCTTGTAGAACTTATATCCTATATATATATAATATCCTATATAAAGTAACAAAGATCATTCAACAACCTTAATTCTATATCAGTACTGTAAACACTACATCTCTACACTAGTACAATAACACTTACTCCAACATCACATGAAATTCATCAAACTTGGTCAAATACCTTCAATAATTGAGGTGAATTTAGACGCAGGATTTCCAATTTGCACCCAGAAATGGGAGTGAAATATGCAGTTCAATCATTAATTATAGAATTCCGCAGGAGATGTCGATTTCCCCTAAATTAATGGGTATTCAATGAGATAATCAGAGAGTGATGTCCCTCAACTCTGTGATAGATAAATATTTATATCCCCCCCCCGCAGCTATTTCTTCCAATATACCTTCCCCATCTTTCCTAATATTCATGTGAATGCGTCCAATATTTAACTCTATAATCATACCCATCATAAATAAATACAAACAATATTTAGTATTGGTAAATTATGGTATATATTATTATGTCAACAGCTCCCTAACTGATTATAATATGGATTGAACTTAGTATTTTCTTGGTTCATGCTGTGTACTTTACAATCATGCTTTCCCCCATGTCCCGGTAAAAGTATATTAATAGAAACTAGAAGCGAAAACAAACCAGGTATTTTATTTAAGTTGAATTTATTCACATTTGTCTCTTCACAAGTACTGTGGTTTAGAGGCGCAGCAAGTATTTTGCTCGAAATTCAGAACTATGGGGTCACGTGATGCGACGGTGGCTCCCCTGGTGTTGCGGCCGATAAATATTTAAGATGTATTTAGTATAAGATATCCATCAAGCATGATGCAGTAATATAAGCATTGTTTTAATCTATTACTGAATAGTTTTTGTATTGTTTTAAGAAATATGTGTAAAAAGGCGTGATTTTGATGTGCTAGGCGCCATGTTTACGGGCAACGTTGTCCAGAAGACAGGAAACGTGTGTACAGGCGTGTCCCAAACCTGTAACGTTGTCCTGAAGACAGGGGACGTATGTGAAACAGGCATGTTCTTCACGTGCAACGTTGTCCTGAATAAAAGTGCAATGTTGTCAATCGTGTTCTTCAAGCTCAACGTTACCTGGACAGGACATGTTCTCTTCACGTGCGACGCTGTCCTGAAGGCAGAGCGTGTATCCAAATGTGTTCCTGAAATATGACTGGCGCTGTTCTCCGCGCACAACGTTGTCCCGGACACGCGTACAAGAGTGTGGTGTCCTTCAAGGTTATCCTATAGCCATGTGTGTGCAGGTATGTTTCTGATATGTTGTGTTCCGTTCGTCACGTGCAACGTTTTCCCATAGACAGGACACGGGTACAATTGTGGTGTCCTTCAGGTTTAAGGTTATCCTAAGACCGTGTGCGTGTGTTCCTGATATGCTTGGCGCTGTTCTTCACGTTCAACGTTGACCCATAGACAGGACACTCGTACAATAGTGGTGTCCTTCAAGGGTTTCCTATAGCCGTGTGTGTGTGCAGGTGTGTTCCTGATATGTTGGGCTCCGTTCTTCACGTACAGCATTGTTCCATAGAGAGGACACGCGTACAATTGTAGCCGACACGTGTGTATGCAGGGTGTATTCCTGATATTCTTAGCGCTGTTCTCCGCGCACAACATTGTCCCACAGACAGTACACGTGTACAATGGTTCTTCAAGTTTAAGGTTATCCTAAGACCGTGTATGTGTGTGCAGGTGTGTTCCTGATATGTTGGGTTCCGTTCTTCACGTGCAACGTGCTCGACGCGGCCTGCTACAAGCTAGCACTGCCCCAGTGTCGGCCTGGGGTCACAGCCTTCCTTCTCACCACGTGGCTGGGCTACCTCAACAGCTGCGTCAACCCCGTCATCTACACAATCTTCAACCCAGAGTTCCGCAAGGCCTTCAATAAGATTCTCACCTGCAGTTGACCACCTTTTAATAAAGTATTTCAGTATAAACTCTTTATTTCTTTCTTAAACCTTCTTTTTTAAACACACCCACACATTTCACACCATACCTCTCTTAGTATTCAATTGTATTTTATTTATTTCTCCTTTTACATATTAAAAAAAAAAAAAAGAGTTTTAAAGTAGAGAAGAAATTGATCTGAGTGGTATAGAATAATACAATGGAAGAGGACATCTCTTCTGATCGTACAAATTAATGTTGCTGATAGCTTACTGCCATCTATCGGAAAAACATATGGCCTATTTGCACTACGCTGAGAAGGATTAATAGTCCAAAAGGAATAATGATTAAGTTGCTTTTCTTGACATTTAAAGAAAAAGGGGGTACTAGAGAAAATCAAATAAACCACAGATTTATTTACATGTTTTCATTTTCATAGATTTAAGTATCACTGTCCGCAATATCACTTTTAAGAATGGATGATTTTCCATTGATAGATTGGCGACATTGAGAGCAAGTTCTATAGACTAGCCTCTTAGGACGTGTCTAGGAGTCCCTTGGAAGACAATTTAAATCACTTTGACACCTTCCCCTAGGTTAAAAAACGCGCTCTTTCTGATTGGCGAAGTCTCGTTGCTCAAGTTCTACTATAAAGACTGATAAACAGCGTGTAAACATAGGGGTCAGATTCCCATGGTGTTTACAGGGCTTCTGAGAAATGTTGGAGCATCGAGACCCCGCCCATCAGAAAGAGCGCAGTTTTTCACCCTGGGAGGGTCAGCGGGAGGGGCTCGACGCGAGCCCGTTTCTCGCTAAAATGTACCGTTAAGGCACAAATCGCAATTTTGTGGTTTTTGACGTCCTGGCGTGGAGAAATTGGGCGAAAAACAGCAAATGGAGACAAATTTTACTCAAAATTTTAGAATGATTTTTAATGACCTCAAATCGCAAATATATTTCATATAAGTAGTTGTAATTTTATTTCTGTTAAAATTTCTTTGAAATTCGCTAAACTCTTAATTTTGCAAATGGCTCAACGCCATTTATTGGAATAAATTTCAACTAAAACTTTGATTCAATTTTCACCCAGTATTTCAACTCGAAACAAATTTATTGATAAATTAAGACAAGCCAGCCATGGATAAGCTTCAGGTTGTTGGTCCATGTCACCATAAGTTAGCTGTAGCTCAACTTCAAGGAAATAGTTAATTGTAGAGATATTGGTTAGAGTGGGAGCTATCATATGTGCTGTGGATACTTTCTGGGGTCTTTAGAGAACATCTCTCGGAATTCTTACATCCACAAGGGACCTGTCTTCTAGTAACCTATATAACAAATGTATGTGGTGTCAAGTTATATTGTACCCCAGTTGTCTCTATATACGTAGCCATAGAGATTTCCTGAATAAATTAGTTACATTGTTATCATTATTATCGCTTATTAACTATTGTTATTCTTTTTATTAATTTCCTTTTAGTTGTTTGTTATTCTATTTGTTACATGCTTGATACCCTAATATGATTGGAGATAAGAAAGAAGAAGATTTGTTATCCTTTTAGCTCTCTACCCTTTATTTATCTTAATTTGGACATATTTCTGACCCCTAATTCTTTAAATTTTATCACCTTTCCTAGATTACAAATTTTACGCTCTTTCTGATGGGAAGGGTTTCGTGCTTCAAAATGAGCTCTTAATCCTGTTAAACATGCTTTAAATATGTGATTAATATTCACATGTTGTTTACCAGACTTTAGAGAAGATATAAGGATTCGAGACCCTGCCTATCAGAAAAAAACGCAGTGCTTTTACCCTGGAAGAGTTAGCGGGAAGGGCCACGACGCGAATCTCTTTCTCGTTAAAATGTTCCGTTAAGCTAAAAATTCCTATTTCGGTGTTTTCAACGTCCTGGAATGAAGAACTTTGGCGGGAAATATCAAACACAAATTAGAATCAAACAATTTTAATAACGTTTTATTATATACTTAAATATATAAATAGCAATTTTAATTAAAAAGAAACTCATTGTGAGGAAATATTTCATAATTTTAAAAGTTTTCCACAATTTCATCAAAAATAAATATTTTATATACCATTTAGTCGCGTAATATTCTTTTTAAAATAAAACAATTTCTACTGCCCTTTTTGCAATGGAAAAATTAATGGGAGGGCCTGTCTCATCAGTGGTGAACCCTCCCAGCGGTTTCGCCAGTTTAATCTACCATACCGTTGTTATATTGTATTTTTGGAACTTCCTTTTATAGTGATACTGATGCTTGACTCTTCGAATGGGTATTTTAGATGAACTATAGACATAAGCTTTTAGGACAGCAGAATTACATATAATTATAAATATAGATGGAAAATTTAAAATTATAAATATAATACATTATAAAGGACTGCGGCGTATGATTATAAAACAACACTTAAAGTTTCACCGCATAAGTTTCTTTTTTGTGAAAAATCAATATTTATTTCAAAGAGAAATATTTACTATTTCTAACTTTTTTGGATGAAGTATGAAAGGGTGAAACTATGAAGAGTAATGGCGAACGGAAAAATAAAAGTGTCCAGGGGCGGGAATCGAACCCACAACCTTCCGCTTACCGGGCAGATGCCATGTCCACTAGGCTACCCTAGCCTACCCTAGTAGCCTAGTGGACATGGCATCTGCCCGGTAAGCGGAAGGTTGTGGGTTCGATTCCCGCCCCTGGACACTTTTATTTTTCCGTTCGCCATTACTCTTCATATTTTCACCCTGGACAGGGTAGCCTAGTGGACATGGCATCTGCCCGGTAAGCGGAAGGTTGTGGGTTCGATTCCCGCCCCTGGACACTTTTATTTTTCCTTTCGCCATTACTCTTCATATTTTCACCCTTTCATACTTCATCCAAAAAAGTTAGAAATAGTAAATATTTCTCTTTGAAATAAATATTGATTTTTCACAAAAAAAGAAACTTATGCGGTGAAACTTTAAGTGTTGTTTTATAATTATAAATATAAAAATTGTTATATAAAAATAGAAATTGTTTTATTTTAAAAAGAATATTACGCGTCTAAAATAGTTTTGTAATTTGATAACAGATGGCGCGCTAGTGCATCGTAATACCATTTAGTGTAACTCTGAATGTATCATGATAAACTTCAAATTGAATATTTATTGTTAATGGTTGTGCGCCATCTATCGGAATAAATCTCAACTAAACGTTGATTTATTTGTCCTCCAGAATATATCAACCAAAGAGCAGCGCGCATGTGTTCTAATTATTGTTCAAATAAAGAAAAGACAACAACCTAATAGTTTTATGTTTTTTAGCCCTCATCAGTGTATTTCGGGCTATATATACCTCTCTTACCTTATAAAAAACAATTTTATTGCTAAAAATATAGTACAGGGAAAAATCCATCTATATACAGTGGTTCCTTCTTAATGTCCAGGGCAGCATCTTAACACCTTCCCGAGGTCTTTCGTCCAAAAGTTGGCTTGTCTTGAAAGTGAGGTTCTACTGTAGCTTCTATAACAAACGGGGTCAAGTTATTGAACATGCGATAGAGAATATTGCTCTTGTGAAATACTAAAGACATTATCTAAAGAGACAAAGGTCGCCTCTCCCGTCAAAATAGACGTCAAAACTAGACGCTTGGTGGACGCTTTTCAGTTTGCCAAAGCTGGTGTTGTGGCTTTGTCACCGACCCGAAGCCGCTAGTTTGCGGCGACGATCAATAGATGGCGTCTATTTTTGACGTCTATTTTGACGGGAGAGGCGACCTTTGTCTCTTTAGATCAATATCCTCCCGGCAAAATTCCCATCTAAAGACATTATATTTTCACAAACCTTTTTTTTTTTTACATTTTAGGTTTCGAGCATAACTTTTTGTAGAGAGGAGTAAAGTATACTCATGGACACAACTAAAGGAAGTTGTATCTTTTTGCATGTATATTGGGATTCAGACAATAACTCTGAAATATATTTGATGCACAGTGAACTTTATTGAAGATACACGAGATAACCAAGTGTGAACAAAATTGCCTCTGTCTCCTTAAAAAAAAAAAGAACAGACGACCGACGACATCAAAGACTTTCCACTTCCTTAAGTATTGTCCATGAGTGTATAGAGTGAAAAAATGAGCCCAAAAAAGGGGAGGCAACAATATTTTGAAGAGGAAGGTTGTCTGTGGGTTAGTACCAGAGCAATCAAAGTTACTCGATGAAAAGGTGGGAGGTTTAGATTAATATTTTTCTTCCAAGTTCCCGAGGAATTAATGGCCAAATACAAACAAGTCACTGGCAAAACTTTCTCAACTTTCTCGGAGATCTTTCGGCCAGAAGTATGCCCTGGCAACGAGACAACAATTATCGTCCAAAACTGAGCGGTTTGGAATTCCATAGCTCGCTCAGGTCCAGCTGGGGACTTTCCGGGCCCTATCAAAGCTGAATGTGGAAAAGTTGCGGTGAAAGAAGCTCTGTGAGCGTTAGCAGGGTGATGGCGCTGCAGCGCGGTGGTAGCGAGAAGTTTGTTGTCGAAATTGTGTTACCTGAGGACCGTGTTCAGGATTTTATGTTCGTTGTAAAAGGGGAAAACCGAGGTTTTGAAATTCCAGATTTCCGAGGCGTGAAGCCTTACCGTGGCGGATAGTAGGAGGATCGCGCCTCGTGCATCTGGCGGTGCCAGGTAAGGACAGGGTAGGGCAGGAGCGACCTAATGGCCAGACTTGCTAGAGCGATAGTACAAGTGTGTACCCAAATACTTGTATATGGGATCAAGGGAAGTGTACCTTGAAGAGTTGTAACCGAAACCACAACAGCGATAGCATCTGCGGACGCTGATGGATCTTTCAATGTGGTGGATGATACCGTCAACGATCAGTCTTTATTTTCAACCCAGAGCTTTGAAGGAGACAGGATCAGGTTCCAGGAACACGGTACATGTCCCGTATCTTGGGGGAACAGTGGGCCATTCTAACAATCTTGTTGCCAGTAGCTGCTGCGATGGCTGGAATGGTCAGAATATATTCTCAGATAGTAAAATCTGAGATGTCGCTTGCTACCCTGAAGATACAGAGACGAGGAAGTAATTCGCGGGATTCGCGGACCGTCAGGTTCTCGGCAAGCTTCTTGTTCGGGGTAGTTTTAAGATCTGAGGTGATATCTCCCTCTTAAGAATCTCCCTGGGATTCATGTCTGGAGCAGTAGCCTCGATAACTAAGTGGGAAGCAGAGACTCAGAGATGGCCTTGGTTCTTTTAGCTGGGAGCTGAAGGAGAGGTTTGTGAGGTTTTGTTTTAGAGTCTGGTTTTGTTGTCGCCGCGTTTTCGTGGGATAGTTTGGGGTTCGGTTAGATAGGTTTGTGAGGGAGTACTCTTTGTGGTGGGTTTGGAGGTTTGGGAGGCGACAGAGAAGCTTGGAGAACGAACTGTAAAGACCTCGAGGGAAGATACTCTCTCGAGAAACTCTCCGCGGTCATGGCCTTCAAACTGAAAGGATACAGGCGCGGTGTTTCTGGAGAAGTCGCTCTATGATGGCGTGCAGGTCAGGATGAGAGAAACTGTGGTATTTGGGAATGTCTATCGTCTCGACCGTTTCAGGAAATAAAACTACATCTGGTTCTTAGTAGAATGCAGTGGCGTAGCTAGGGGAATGACGATAGTAATTAGGTCACTCTGTAGGTTGGTAAGAAGTGTTTTTTTGGGGTGTAGGGAAGAGAATTCTGGAGAACTGAAAGTAAACAGTTGGCAAATACCCGCCTGGAGCTTCTTCTTTAGTAACTTAATCGTAACCCTGAGTAGAATTGAGCTGGAAAAGTTAGTATTGGCAGTTCAGACAGGATCGGTAGGTTCATCTGTTTCCGTGGCGGTGGTTTTCTTCCTACCTCTACCCATCATAAAAAGTCAGAAGGAGGCGGTAGCAGGGGACGCCTCGGAGGGCAGCGAATTTCTTATTGGTCGATAAAAGAAATTATTTGGCGGGATTTGCGGCCGCCCGGGAGAGCTCGGGAATTTTCGGTATTGAGTTTCTTCTAATTCTTGGCCTCTCGGTATTTATTTAGGCCGGTATTTTTAAGGCAGAAGTCTTCAGGGCTTCTCGGGGCCACGGAAGAGTCAGTAGTGGCTACGGGTCTTCAAAAATTCAGGCGAGGAAAACCGAAGTTGAACTGTGTGGCAAGTCAGTCACATAATTGTATTGTTTTAAATATGGTACAGATTGGATCTATGTAAAGTAGGTCCTTTTTGGTGTTCGGGTCACCTCAACTCTCTCGGAGTTATTCCGTCAAGAAACTGTGTGACAAAGAGAAAACCAGTCACTCATAGAAGCTTTTGACAAATCAATGAAAATGTATTTTGGGGCACAAATATGCATTATTATCTTTAACCCCTGATGGAAAGATAAAAGAAGAACAGATCATAAAATTATTTTAAAATGATACTCAGATCATATAACTGAACCTTTTATAAATACTTCGCGCCATTCATCGGAATAAATAAACTTTAATTTTATTCCAGAATATTTACTAAAGTTGCATAACTATAATATTTTTTTTTCCATCATTTTACATCCTGATGTTCATTTTTTCCTCTAATATTCTCTTTATATATTTACACAGACATTATAGTGGCTGAGATGATGACTTACTTGAAAAGATCGATTGAAGGACGCGTACATTTTGGATCAAACACCAGTACCACCAGTTGATAAAACTATGAGTGAATTGTTTTAGAGGATCTTGATGGATCTCTCATTCTTATGACTTGATTCATTTAAAAACAAATAACCTATTAGCTTATAAACAGCAGTTTCTGTTAGTTCGTAGAAAATTTGGATCGTTTAAGAGATTTGACTTTTGTTATCCTAATTTGTTAATTGTTGTAAATTGAATGAGGCTTCCTAATTCTTTCACACAATTCATCTCCATGGTACAAATAGCCAAACAGGGAATTGGAACCGTCTCAAGACAAAATTCGAACAACTTTTGGCATTCAACGTTATAAGATTTCTAAGTATCTACTTGTGTACATAATGTTCTCCACAGCACCGCAGTACAATATGCTATAGAAAAGAGGCAAGCGGACCATTTACAAGAAATTTCTATAGTTAGAGAAGAATATTTCAATAGTATCATTATAAACACCATTACTAAGAGTAAACCTTCAAGTCCAGACTTATATATAAGCACAATCAACAATACAATAGTTCTAGCGAACTGGTGGATAAAATTGGTGAAATCACTAGACAGGTTTACCCCATGTGAACCAAGCCTTCCCAATTATTTTTCTTATTCAGTCCATATATTGTATAAACTAGTTTTTTTTAAAACAATATCGTTAAATTGTTGTATTCTTTATAAACAAGTTTGTTTCCCTTTTCTGCCTTGAAAAGAGCGACAGTGGAACGCCGTAACGTCGGGTAACAATAAAATATGAATGTTGATGTGCCTCTATCATAATATATACACGGCGTATATAGTTAGCTGGAAGTCATACTCCTGTTGAAGGGCATGTTTCTTCCCCCCCCCCCCTTTCTTTAGCAAATTTGTTCATCTCGTGTGTTTTCAATAAAGATCTCACTGTGTATCAAATATCTTTCAGAGTTATTGTCTGAATCCCGATATACGAGGGGTGTCCCATAAGTCCGTGGCCCGACAT